ATTTCATTGTTGTTCTCATTCTCATTCCCTGGCTGTAACCTTCTGCGGAAAGTCTTGGTTGTTCATCCATTTGGACTTTGGCTTTGTGCCAGGGCCTGAGTTTTGCATGTACATCTGTTTTACTGGCATATCAGTGTGCTGTTAGTTGTTCCTTGCCACTCAAGTAGATGCACACCAACTTTGAAGGAAGTCCCAAATTAATCGACTCCTACGACATGCTTGTTAGGGAGGCAGTGGGTCTATTCTAGTTTTTCCCACAATTGGGCTTCTGAACCTACACGGGGATCTTGGCAAGTAAACAGGTTTTCCAAAGAGAGACTGAGCCATGAGATTAAATTAGTTGCCTGTACTATATAGGACACCGCAAACCAACCCCAACATGTGTTGGCTGTTGTGTTTTTCTAGCTAGTTTTATGTTCAGTAGTTTGCCATTGACGACTGAATGGTCGGTACTCCAGATCACTGTCAAAATCAGTGCAACACAGTGAGTGCTAAACTGCCTGCAGCTGATTCAGACCTGGTATTTTGGGGTTCTTCATCTTCTTCTTCATGTTCACTGGTTGTTAACTCCAGCAGAAAGTTTTGGTTGTTCATCCACTTCTGGACTTTGTTCCAGAACCTGAGTTTTATGTAGGCATCCATTTTACAGACCTGGTTTATTTGTATCCAGACTGGCGGTTCCTCACCTCTCATGCAGATCCACTCCAACTTTGAAGGAAACATCCCTAATTAGACTCTTAGGCCATGCTTATTAGGGAGCAACAGGACCCCTGAAGCCACATTTGGAATTACAAATTGCATTCAACTCCTGTTGTCATGGTGGCTTGGAAGAGATTATGATGGAGGATGCAGTTTTTAGAGGGCGAGGCAGGTGGATACAAGACATTGAAGATGTATTAGCATTGAAAGCACATGGGGCCAGAGAGCTGGCTGGGGAAAGGGATACTTTCAGACGTGCCATGAAGAGAGCAATATTCTGTAAAGGACTTGCTGACTGATGATTCAACTCCTAAACCCCAGACACCAATAAGAAATAATACTCTGCACACTGAAGTCGCTTCTCTTGTCTATAAACCATACTTCCATAAATTATCACCAATACTGTACTTTAAAAATTATGTTAAACAGTAAATATTACTGCAATAATTCAAACAGTAAATCCAAAAAATCGCATATTTTCAAATAATATATTTATTTGAGGTTTTTCTTTTCAGCTGTCAAACACTGATCAGCTATCACTCATGACTGACAACTAAATGCCCAGTAACAAAAAGATCAACAAGTTTTTAGAACAAAACAAAAAAATATTCATTCATTTATTCTCCATTTGTCTGACAAAGTCATTGGATTACACAGTGTCTACTATAGGACCCTTTTTACACCAGTAGTGCATCAGGCATGTAGTGCTGTACCTATATCTATCATATAAAACACAAAATCCATGTGTTTGTTGGAAATCTTGTAATCCCGTTGACTCCTCCCAAATGATGACGTGAAGACAGGTTAAACTTACAGGTATCGTTCTGGCTTCAGTCTTCAAAAAAGAAAAAACAGTAATTTTGCAACCATGGCTCTGGCATATTTTGGCATATTAACTGACTATCACTCAAAGTTACATTTCGCTGGATTTATATCCCATGCAAACTATACATGTCATTATGTCCATTGGCCGTGTATTTAATATACTGCAGGGGCAATCACTTTAAGTCACGGACTTGGCACACTGTCGTATTAAGTAGGCGCATGGCTATATTTGTAAAAAATTTGAGGTAGCCCTATCTTTATCTACAGCCAAATCAAACATTGTATAGAAAAGTGGGTATATTCCAATCCACTTATTCCTAGATGTTATCTGGTGAGTACAGCTTAATTAGAAAATCTCAGTAGAATGCATTACTCTATCTCATGCGATGCCATTTTGTAACCTTGAATTGTTAAGGAAAAAAAAAAAAAAAGCAAATTACATCACGGCATGCAAACACAGTGATGGTCAAGCTAAAACCTGACATCTTTATTTCCGTTGTTACTTCTGCTCCACCAATTTTGAGCAGGTGGGTCAACCTGGATCCATTTATGTTTAGCCAAAAAGTGAAACCACAGAAATGCATTGGTGATTCCAGGTCCAATGACTGTCAGTCCAAAAGGCAAGTGTAGGAGTCATGTGCTACCCTGGCTTAATATATTCTAGCTATAATATATACTTTTCCCAGTATGATCGTATCACTGCACATTGGCAGAACGTCATTCTCAACACGTGTGCCCGAGTACTCTGATGCCTCATCCGCTATCCTGCCTCGTGCACTTTTCAACTCAAAATTACTAATTTATATCTTGTGCCCATCCTTGTGCCGTTCTGCACCTGCCCCTCTTTCCTGGTACATGCCTTCTGCTATCATTTTTACCATCTGCTTGGGCGTTGTGATGTGGCAAAATATTTCAGTTTCATTAGACAAGATGCTGCCTACTAGCCAATCTTCCTTGATACTGACTTGTTTTAGAATATCAGTACTTCTTTTCTTCTTAGTCCATTGTATACATAATTTTTTAGAAGGCAATAATCATAAATTTTAAATTGCACATTTTATTCAGGAAACATGCCCGCAGAAATGACTAGATATTTCGGCGTCAAACCTATAATTGTTTTTCTTTATTGGCTGTAAAATTCCTGAAATTAACCTTTGTTCTGATGGAATGGCTGGTGCAAAAATGTGGGTAAATGTGAAGATCAGTGCTTTGTTAATATCCTACCCCAAACGGGAAATCCACAGGTCTAGGGACAGTCTAATATTTCAGGGGGTGGTAGATAGACTGCATCCAGTCGTGGGACCTAGGCTGCACTCTCTCGTGGGACGTAAGTGGGTTGAGGTTAGGGTCAGCTCTAGATGTTTTGGGGTCGTTAAAAGCATCAGAAAGCTGGGAAACCAGTCTTGCCACCCTCTAAAATGTTGGACTGTCCTGGGATGTCATCTGGGGAAGGATATTACGAAAGCACCTGAAGATCTGTAAATGGATTTGAACCTAACAGATAGAAGACCTTCACTAACCAGACTATCCAGCAAGTGCTCAAGAAACTGGTAAACTGGAAAGAGACGATCAATCCTACCATGTTCACCCTTCTTTTCCCTGACCATATAAATATATAAATATATATACTGGGTCCTTGTCTCATGCATCTGTTCTGAGGTCACTACATTCAACATAATAACTATGTCTATGCATCCAAGCACACATCTGTTCCTCTACAGACTTCATTAGTATCCTACATTAGCATGAAACAAAACAATACATTTTATAAATTTTAAACAACTCATTTAATAAATTACAACATATACATTTATGGAAAGTAACAATTAATTTAGAATTATATATATATCTAATTTTCTTTTTTCAAGTGGGCGGGAAGGGAAGGGTGGGTGGGAACAAACAGGGCTGAAATCATCAGTAGAGTATTGTTTACCCATTCCTTCACAACAACAACACTTTACTGATGATTTCAGCCCTGTTTGCACCCACCCACCCCTCCCCCCTCCCTTCCTGCCCACTTGAAAAAAAAAAAAAAAAAAAAAAAATCGATAACAACAACAACCCATTCCTTAGCTCTTGCAGTTTATCCAGTCCCCCTGTATAATTTTTCTGTTCCGTTGGCCTCTCTTTTCTTGCTTTCTCTTACTCAGCTTTCTGGATTAATTTAATGTTTCCATGTCCTGTTTTGTAATCTCTGCTATCACACTCTCCACATGTTCTCTTGCTTAAGTCGTTCTATAAGTCTACATAATACTGGACACATGCACACACACACACAACTACTTTTTTTTAAACACAGCAGTATTATTATTCTCATAACCGTTCTTTTCTAAATTCTCCACTCGACACCAAGACTGAAATGCAAGTTAGGGTGCAGAAGTGCTGAACTACACGTGGTGGTGCACCAAGACCAGGGCTAAAGACCTATCTTCACCTCTCCACAGTCATCCTAGAAAAGTATGGCAGCCTGGCCACCACAGATAGGATCGAAGTTGGAACGCATCTGCCTGAATGGCAAGCAAACAACAGTCTGGCATATAAATAATCCAGATCTGTAAAATGGATGTGCCCACAAAAGTGAAATCCTGAAACGAGACCAAAGCCAAGAAGGGGATAAACAACCCAAACTTTCTGCCACTTTACAAATGGTGTACGTAAAGAATTGCAAGCTAAGCTTTTCCCTAATACAAAAGAAAGAACTCATTTATCAATCCAATTTATATCTTTCATAATGGCTTCAATCGATCCATTTCTTACAGCATAGCTCACCCTTCCCCCAATGCATACCATCGCCCCTCCCCCTCCCCCACGGAAATGACCATAAACATTTGAAACAAAGGTGAGCAAAATTTAGGGGAGATCAGTCCTGTTCAAGGCAAATCGGTCTTTTCCAAGGCTGAAATCAAGGCTCAAGGACAGAGCAGCATATTCAGGGTCAAAATCAAGTATTAAGGTCAGCTACAAACCCTGTATACAGAAACAGTTTAGATAATGGATTGTTTTATTTGCTCACTTTTACAAACTCAGAATGTAAATCAACATGAAACACTTGAAGCACACTTTCTTGTAAATACTGACACTGACATTAGTCAGGTTATATTGAATGCACAAGCTATGCAGTGATTCAAAACAACTCTGTTCTATGCAGCTTTAACTCTTTCACTGCTAGGCTAGTGTTCCTTTAACTCACTCTACTGTAAAAAGTCATTACTGTAGGCAATACACATGGTGAGTTGGCAAGTAGTGATGAGTTAATAAGATGGTTGCTTCACTGAATGAGACACTTTTCCAATGTTTTTCTCATAATGTTTTTTCAGAACAATATGTGTGGCAAACTGCTTAATTCTGAGCTTGTATAACCAAGCCCACCCACAAAGAAAGTTATTTGGTGGCCCTTTGGTGAATTTAATATACAGCTATGCACAAGATGACAATGTGATGTGTCCTGTTCTGCCTTGTTACGGCAGGGCTAACTGTCATTGGGAGACACCGTTGTCTGCTCCAGCTATGGCAATGCTTTGCTGCACATGAAGAACTTCCCCTGAGTCAGTTGTCACGGTCGCCACCTGAATTCCTTCCTCCAACATGTCAGAGTGCTGAATTTGCTAGAAGAAGAATGGAAACAGAAAATGTTAACTAGAATGCTAACATGCTGTCACAGATCACTAAAGTGTTGGCCTTTCCCCCCAATTTTTTTTTAAATTAAAATATTTGGCAGCGTTTTTTACAAGACTGGGTTAATTCCAATCATTTTGAAAGGAAAAAAATGGGCGGTGATATCGATCACAGGCGTGAGAGAAAGTTAAGGCTGCTGGAATGTGTATACTGATTACTCCGTACACCTCAGGCGCCAGCCAGCTCGTGGATGGTTTTACAGATTTTCAAGCAAGACTCATGCCCCACGTCCGTATGATTTTTTGCTCACCTCTGTGACCTAACTAAGTTGGCAGATGATCTCAGTTAGTGGTCTCTAGAAATATATATTCTAGTCTGGCTCACATCGCCCCACCCCTATGCATGGGTGAATATGTCTATTAAAACACATTTGGAACATGGGTAGCCACCACTAGAGAAAGACACTAAATGACAACCCTCAGTTAAAATCTCTTGTCAAGTGGGAAGAACTACTCTACTGCTGAGATTCAGTCTAGACAAGCAACATCTCTTGCAGGTGGCAACTTGCGGAACAGTACTGTCTCTGTATGTCCCTTGTTGTTCCTCAATGTCATCGACACTGTGTTGAGGTACACCACGATAACCTGCCACTGTCAGTGTGCTGGTCTGGCATAAATGTCCATCTGATACATTTCCTATGGCTCATAAAACAAAATCCCAAATGTCCAACCCAAACAATTCCTAATTGGCAGAAAGCAAAAAGGTTCACATGCCCGTTAACAATTGACACCACTCGCCAGTGTGTGGAACCTAAAATGGGGAGCCATACTCCTGCTGTACTGTCTCGCTAAATTTCCAGATGAAACAACGCTAAATGTGTCTAATGTGCTGAATAAAAATGTATCTATTTGTGTGGCCATCAAAGTCCTGGACATGTGTGCTGCTCCCTGCTGATCTCCGGAGGGCCCAGGCCATGCTGATTGGAAATCTCAAAATACTGATGTGAGAATAAGCAGTCATGTGCAGGACGTGACGATTCCTTGGGTGAGCCCAGAACCAGAGCAACATGTGTTGGTTCTGCAATTATGGAAGCCTCCTTGAATGGTAGGGAATGATCCATCCCTGCCTTTCCTTGAAGTGCTGACCCATCTACATGCAGATGCACAGGACAGGGTCTCCAGGGGCAACACCTGTAGATGAAGGAATAAAGAGAACAACACAGGTCCTGTCCCATGAAACTATCCATTAAAGTTACTGCGGTCAACAAATGCTCGATGAAGTCGGATGTGTCCACCGGAAGGCACAAATATTGCAGCTCTGCTAGAAACAAACACAACACATTTATGTCACTTGGACGAACAAGAAGAAGAAAAGGAAGAAAGGAAAAACTCTTCCCTGTGTGGGTTTTGGAGCCCCATTGGGGAGAGAGGGAGGAGGGAGGGAGACAACAGATCTAGCTCCCCCAAAAACGAATCACAAAAGTGGACTAATTTGATATTTGGTGAAATGTGATGGGTTGGGCCGAAAGGTGTAGACATCATAGATTAGCTGTAAACCACAATACAATATTCCAACCACCCTTTAATGGCTAATGAAGAAGAAAATCCTGCCATATGACTGAACGTGAATCAGAGTTTCATAAGCTAGTAAGGAGACTTACATAAAGCAGTGACGAGGGGGAAAAAGAACTTCAATTTAAGCTAAATAACAATATGAACAATAATATTTACAAATGCATACTCTTACCTAAATAATAGGAAAGTCAGAGTCAAACTAAAAAGTTATCATATATCATTTATATATCACAAAAAAAGTTTCTCTCTTACTTCAAATGGTTTTAAAAGTTTTCTCACATCCGTTTTTTTTTTTTTTAAAACGCATCAGACAAATGTGATACCAACAACCACAATCATACATGCCCCAAGAAAATGAGAAGGCTATAACCAACTGGCTTAACCCTTTTACCCTGAGAAACCGCACAACTGACACTTTTAGTTGGGTAAATTACAGGGACCTCTTTACAAAATGCACAGTTAATGCTACTGGCTGTTTCGCAGCAAATGTGCAATTTGGGAGGTCAGGATATGAACAAATTAACTAACAATAGCATTGAGGCTTTTTTTTTTCCTCCCTTGAGCTACATGACTTTTTTTTTTAAAGACCAAGCTGACCAAAGAGTTTTCCATAAGCATCAGTGAGAGAGGTCATAGGGTCACAGCACAAGTCACCCAATAAATATGGGCCTTTTTTAACCACCCTGGGAATTATTCTATTTACTGATTAACCCTGTTAAGTGTTTACTGACTGCTCCTTTCATGCGTATTTATATATTTCAAAATAAAACGTAAGTATGTAGGTAAATACATTTTTAACAAATTTATTAGTGACGTGTGTGAAAAAAAAAATTAATGGATTACATTCTGGAATTCTAGCGGGATCACGACCTATTTTTGTTTATAGTGTTCCCAGGGTGAAAGGGTTAAGAAGATGACCATCAACAACTTTTCAGTTATATTTTATAAAAATAACTACAACTTAGAAAAACATCAGACCAAATTCCCTAGAGTTATATAAAGCACATTCACAATGCCTAAGCTACAGGCTACCTCCAAGATAACATGCAGAAAAGTGGCTGCTCCAAGCCCATGTGAGGTGGTAATAGGCCTTCATGTTGTCCATAGCATCCTGTCTTGTGAAATAACATGATTTCCTTTGCCGGCCACTGAGGACTTTCAAAAACTTAACACTAAAGGACAAAATAACCCTGCAAAAAATACAGACTGACCCCTATAATCTGGCCTCCTGAGAGAATCTGTATGTGCTGGGCATGTTGTAGCTGTGAGATTTGTTCCGGAGTGGCATGAAGAATTTGTATCTCCCCAGCTTGAAGACCTTCACCTTGCATTGCCAGTGCTGCCTGGATATCTGCTTCTGAAGCCTGGTGAAAGCATGTGCATAGACTAAGAAAATAACACACACAACATAAGACTTGAGTTTGACCACACACACACATAGCACACAAAAAATTTAAAAACTTAGATGAGATTCCTATGAAGAGAAATCAACATGGCTGTCCAATTAATTTATATGTCTTTTTCCGTTACACAAATCTGGTTGAGCTATGGACTTGCCTCACATGGGGATGTACTACAACTGCACAATGTGGAGGTGTTTGCTCACTCGATTGTGGGATGAGGTAACAAGTCAAATTGAAGATACAGAAAACCTGCACCCGGAGAGAACAATTCTGCGGGGGTGTCCCTGGACGCCACTGGAGATTCAGGGAAAAGCAATGACAATAGGTAGCATCAGTATGGAGACCCTTCCCTGGCGGTTGAGGAGAAAGACTGAGCTAATATGTGCGTGCCCTGAAGCCTGTGATGTTGAATCTTCACTCAGATGCAAGATGTGTGAGTTCCAACCCCACCAAGTCCAATGATCTTGGTTGCAATTCCATAGGCAGGGCAGTTTTTTTCTTTTAACTGACCTAGGATGCGCAGGTCAAGCCAGTTTAAAATGAGTACCAGTAAATGTTCTGGGAAGTAAAGGCGACCAGCCTGAGGTTGATTATATCACTCATCAGGTACCGACTGGTCAAAATAATTTAGGTCTAGCACCACATGTCTGATGTAACAGTGGCGTGAAAATGGTCCTCTACTTCCTTTTACTCTCTTTCCGGGGGTTCCCGTGGTGAAGGGATCAAGCCGTTTGCCCAGCACTATGAGGGTCAAGGGTTTGTTTCACACCAGTGTCGTTCAGTTTACAAGTGCAATTTTTACGGAGATTCCTGGGGATTGTCGCTGGAGCTACAGAGGTCATGCTCTGTGCAACGCTCTTGACAGGCAGCTAGCTGTTCTGCACAGTGAGAGTGTGCCATATGAAATAAAACCCGGTGCAACGAAGTTGATCCTCTCATCTTCACTCTCTTTCCAATATTAAGAGAAAATATCTGGTACTGTTCTTTTATTTCACCCCATCTCGGGGACACCACGATTTCACAGGGAATTCCTAGGGAGTTCCCTGGATAACCCCATATTGTGGAAAAGAGAGAGGGGGGTGTAGGGTTAGTGTTAGTCGCTGTTCATTTAACCCTATAAGACTGGAACTTCTATATTCCAGGAGTGTCATGTGTTGTTTTCAGCATTTTCAATGTTTATTGTGTGTGTTACTTCCGTCACCATCACGGTGTCCTGTTTGGAAGCAGTGTTCTTATTTCGTGACTCTGCCATGAATTCCCTCAACCTGTCAACATTACCGCATCTAAGCCTAACCCATCAGTATAAGTACATGGAGACTGACAGTCCTATTCAAGGCATTCCCCACTTCCCCTACCCCTCCAATTTGCTTCCCAATCCCTAAGTTTTGACCAAGAAAAACACAGGTTGAAGCTGTACTTTACAGGTCGCTGAGAGAGTTAAACAAGATGGTGAAGTTCACATTACAGACAGCACTGCAGACATAGATAATCTATTTTGGGTGAACAAAAGAAGAAAAAACTAACCTTAAACCCCCCCCCCCCCCTTTTCCCCACCCAAAGGACTATCCATGAAAAATCCCTAGTAATTTCCCACGAAATCTCAGAGCCCCGAAATGGGGGGAAAAAGACTGAAAACAAAACATAATGTATGATATTTAATTTACATACACTTTTCAACAGCTGTCTCCCATGTCTATAAAATTACACACATTGTTTCTTTTGACAAGTATAGCCACTCAAATGATGAAGTCCATAAATCTCATGAGAACCGCCTCATCTATCTAATCGGCTTGAATTCGCAAAGGGGACTTGAAATCCAAAACTGTTTTAATACTTTTGAGTTATGGCCCCTGCGTTTCACTTTTTTTTTCTGGTCATTTTTTATTTCCAATAGTCACACACGCATCAGAGATTTATCCAGCCAAACAGATATGTGATTTCTCTCGGAGATAATTCAGTAAAGTAATTTTGTGTATTCATGCTCATATTTGTTGTACATTCATGTAATGTGCTGATGACGGCTCTTTAGCAGCAAGGTTCAGTTGTCATTCGTGACTGTTATAATCTGATCCTGACTGGTTCTACTTTTCAGTTTAAAAGATATAAAACCAAATAAAAAGTAGATCTGCGATCTTCATAATATAACAAATACAAACGAAAAGTGAATACTGCGACTACAGAGCCTTCATCAGCACGTACATAAATCAAACAAAACTGATAATATACAAAAGTCAATTAACTGACGCGTCATTTTCATTTGGTTTGATATCACTTCATGATATTCCTATCTGATAAACCTGGACAAATTCTTACATATTTCACATATTTCTCCAACCGCATGAAATCACTACCACTAATGATGGAGTCATTAAATTAGGTATGTGAGCAGCAATTAAATTAACCTTTACTCCACGAACCAACAAATTACCTGGTGAATGTGAAGCTCCCCATCCTCCTGGCTTAATGAATCTTCATCACTGCCTCCACTCATGTCTCCAAGGTGACCACCAATATTGACATATGAGGGTGGGGCTTTGCCCCTGAAAGCTTTCACTGTGAGAGGCATGCCTCGCTGGCGTCGCCTCCAGGCAGTTCGGCACTTGGAATCTATGTTCTGCTTAATTCTATGCCAGTCAGTCTCTGCTATACCAAATCTATGAATGAGGTGACCTGGTGAATGTATAAAGATGAAAACAGTAATATTTCAGGCTCAATGATTTTTTTTAAATTGAGTGCATTTGTAATATTGTATTTGTAATCATCAATAAAACATTAAAAAAACAAAACTATTTATAAGACAAAAAGCCAAAGACGCTGTTTTGTTGTCAAAAGCATTTTGTTCTTATACAGTTAAAAATCTAATTAATAAGATGACACAGGCATTTAATTACAGATTAAGAACACGTTTCTGATCAAAACGTATCTCCATACTTTGTTTCTCTTGTTGCAGAATCTACTGTCCTCCTCTTTTTAATCACACAGCGTTATGTTGGGAGGGGGACCATGCCATATACCTAAGAGGGGCCCTGTGGTCTTGCCACATACTCAAGGACAGTGCCAGTTGTATTGGGGGGGGGGGGGGGGGGGAAGAAGAGAAGAGAGAAGGGGGGCAGAGAAGGAAAGGGGAGAGAGGGGGGGGGGGGGGGGGGGGGGGGTTGACCCGAAAAAGGTTTCAGACCAATGATTTAGCTCCATATAGAGCATATTTTGACATTAGAGTTAAGTATTATAAATTTGGTACCAGTTTTAATTTCGTTTTACTTCCACATATATACAGTTGAGATTCAAGGTAAAGAGCCAACCATACACCATGCCTTGAGTGAGACTGAACAAGTTAATGAAAATGCCATAAAGAAAAGTGTAGAAACAGACTGTTCACATGTGTTGGTGGATACTGACATTGAATCATGCCATAAAACATATTTATTTGATACAACATTGCAATTTTCAGCTAATGAGACATCTGCTGCTGCTGCTTAGAGGTTAGAAAATTGAATATGCAGTGCTGCAGCGTGGTTTCTGATAGATGATGCGCTGCAATAACCACCAACAGCTGCATTCAATTTTTCTGTCTGGTTTTTTTCATACTGGCATGGCTGAGAAAGTCTTATCAGGCGAATAGGAAGTGAGAAAAAAAAAATCAACAGTTTGATTGCTCTTTAACATAAAGATGGATATTCTTTTCTGAGTCGTACCCAAAACTCAGACAGTGATTGAATTTTAGGATCCTAATTTTCAGGGAAATATAAGTTTCCAGCTGACGCCTTTAAATGCTGACTTATGTTGTATATCACTATCTGATTGAAATTAGCAGAAATAACAATTTCTTCCAATAGTGGAAACACTTCTTTATCTAGATCTGAACATCAAGGAAGACTGGCTAATAAAAAACATCTTGACTGAGAAGCTAAATATTATGGTCATATCAAGCACTATGGCAGATTGGAAAAAAATAATAGCAGAAGGCATGGTGCCAGGAAGGAGGGGCAGGTGTCAACCAACTCGATGATGGGCATAGGATATAAGTGACTCCTTGAATATGAAAGTACACGAGGCAGGAGAGCTGACGAGAGACCGAGTTTCTTTCAGGCAGACTGTGATGAGAGCGATGTTCTCCAAAGGACCTGCTACATGATGTTGTTGATATATGGACAGGTGCAATGAATTAAAAATGTTACACAACATTGGGCAGATGAATCTGAAACAACACTGCGCATCAGTGGCTGCACAAAAAAATTACAGCGCCAAATTATTGCCACACTTTGCAGCAATGTACTGCTGGAATCGTATAGCTGCTACATGAGTTACAGTCCTTATTCCCAGACTAGACTACAGGCTACATAACTGTCAGGTGCCCTACTATTGCATTTGAGATCTGTACCTATCTGATTCTCAACTCTGAAGTGTTATTCCTACAGATTGCATGCCTGGAAGAGAAGAATGAGTTGAGTCAAGACATTACTGCACTCGGGGCATTCCCATGCATGTTCCGTCCTCATCTTCAGCAGCCAGTGCAGAGTACCAATACTGATGATACGGGTCACAATCCGGTTATATTTCCATCTTGCCTTTCCTCTGAGTGTAGTAAGCCAGCCAGACCCTCTGGTTACACCCAGGTGCCTCATTCTCTCCAAGCTATAATAATCTTGTTTCTCTACTGATTCCGTTGGTTGTTCCCAAAGGTCCTTGACCACATCTGCCTTGTCATGTATAAATTCACCACCCAGCAGTGCAGATTCACCCAATCTGAAGAAGAGAAGAACTACCTACCTACCCTGCCCTATTAAATGATCAGACAGAAAGGTGTTGGCGGTCTACCCAGACAACCTGGGTTTTTCCACAGCCCAGGGGATGAACAATGCCATAAATCATGAGAGGGTCTAGTTTACTTACACTAAATACCGTAAATCATGAGAGGGTCTAGTTTACTTACACTAAATACCGTAAATCATGAGAGGGTCTAGCTTACTTACACTAAATACCATAAATCATGAGAGGGTCTAGTTTACTTACACTTCTTCTTCTTCACTTCCTCTTTTACCGCTGTGGGTGTCGAGGGAGATATAAGGTTCTGTTTCTAGCTCTTCTGGCTGCCTCGACCATAGGCACATCGTGCTGTTGTAGAGTTTCTCTGATGTTATCCTTCCATCTTGTTCTTGGTCTACCCCGTGCTCTACGTCCTTCTTCTCTTTCCATGTATGCTTTGTATGGTATGGTGTCACAAGGCATTCTCTCTAAGTGGGCAAACCATTTCACTTGCTGTCTTTGTATGTAATCCAGAATTGGTTCTGTGCCGACTTGTTCTCTTATGATCTCATTCCTGATCTTATCTCTTATGGTCACTTCTACAGCCCTTCTCAGACATCTCATTTCCGTGGTTACTAATTTTCTTTTATGGTTTGTTGTGAGTGACCATGTCTGGCACTGGTAGCACAGAGTTGGAATAAATATGCTTTGAATAAGATGTCTCTTTGTGCTGATTGGGATTGTCTTATGCTGTAAGAGGGGGGCTAGCTGTTCCAATACTTGGTTTTACTTACACTAAATACAATAAATCATGAGAGGGTCTAGCTTACCTACACTAAATACCATAAATCATGAGAGGGTCTAGCTTACTTACACTAAATACCATAAATAATGAGAGGATCTAGTTTACTTTCACTAAATCATGAGAGGGTCTAGTTTACTTACACTAAATACCATAAATCATGAGAGGGTCTAGCTTACTTACACTAAATACCATAAATAATGAGAGGGTCTAGTTTACTTACACTAAATCATGAGAGGGTCTAGTTTACTTACACTAAATACCATAAATCATGAGAGGGTCTAGCTTACTTACACTAAATACCATAAATAATGAGAGGGTCTAGTTTACTTACACTAAATCATGAGAGGGTCCAGTTTACTTACACTAAATACCATAAATCATGAGAGGGTCTAGTTTACTTACACCGAATACCATAAATCATGAGAGGGTCTAGTTTACTTACACTAAATCATGAGAGGGTCTAGTTTACTTACACTAAATACCATAAATCATGAGAGGGTCTAGTTTACTTACACCGAATACCATAAATCATGAGAGGGTCCAGTTGCTTCTTGCCATGTTTTCCTTGACCAGACAAGTTGGATGCTGCCTGTGTATCTCTATCAAACAAGTAGTCTAACAAAGTCAAGGCCATCTTTTCTGGAGTGCGACAGTTGGAATGCACATGAAGAAGGTCGCTGTGGAGAAACAAAGTTTTGAGTATTTAAAAAAAATACATTAGGACTTGCTACCTATACACCCTGAGTCTCAAATCATCTCATCTCGATCCTCTGGTGCCTTGTGCTGTCAAGGTAAAAATTATTCACAGGAAAGAGACTGTTTGTTTAAAAAATTGGGATTCACAGGGACTCTGTAATTCCCTGTTCATCGCTTGCATGTTTGGCCTCTTTTTTGCTTCCCACTTGGTTTGTACATCATGGCTTGCTGTGGTATATATTCTGCTGACATCCGCATTTATATGGCCAACTAATTCACCTGTTGTCTTCGAATGAAATCCAGAGCTGCTGCTACTTCCATTTTTCTTCCGATTTCATCATTTAAAATCTGATCATACATGGTCCTCCAAACAAGCATGCAGATCAAGGTGAAAAATTTGGGATTGTTTTTTTTTCTGAAGTCAAGTGCATCTGCCTGAGAGACAAGGAACCAACAGTCTACATACAGATAAGGCAGATCTGTGAAATGGTTTTGCAAGCAAAATCTAAGTTCTGGAACATGACAATAGTCCAGAAGTGGATGAACAACCAGAATTTTCTGCTGGAGTTTACAGCCAGTGAATTATAGAAAGGGTTAACTTTTCCTCAAATTGTTTTAAATATAACCATAACTTTGTGTGTGTGTGTGTTGTTTGTTTTTTAAACAGCATCTGTTTTATACATATCTGCATTTTGTATTGCTGGTTTTTAATTATTACCACCATCTAAGCACAACAGATCGGCCGCAGAGAAAGCAGGGGCATAGCAAAAGAAAATAATGCTGGGCGGTCTAAAGTACTGGCATGGAGGTATCAACAGGATTGATCCAGAACATCAATGACTGAGATTTATGGAGAAACATGAAAGCCTATGCCATATTTCAAAGCAAACAACAATGATAAACTTAAGCAGTTTCTTACTGATTCTAGAATCCTGCAAATGTATGTCTGGAGTCCGAAGTTTCAAAATGGCTGCAATCAACTCTGGGTTCACTACTTAGTGTGCCTGACCTGGTCGTGAACAGTCTGTCGATGAATTCGCATTCAAACTTTCTACTCCACTCATTCATTTACTGACTGAAGGGCATGCATCATCATACTTGACCTTCATTCGTTGCACATCTAGGACATTTTTACACTTTGTGTACAAGAAGGAAAAGTTAAGGCCAATTTCATCAACAAGGTGGCCCTCTCCACAATGAAGACTCGCTATAATAAATTTCAAAAATGTCATCTTTAAAAAAAATGTTTATTACAACAACTGAAATGAGATTCCTGCAAAGGGCTCTTAATATATAAGATGAGATAAGATCAGAAACAATGACATCTCAAGGAAAATGGGGGTAGCAGCAGCTCTGGATTTTATTAGAAAACAACAAGTGAAATGGATGCCAACAAACAGTATACCACAGCAAGCTATGATGTACAGACCAGGCAGAAAGTGAAGCAGAGGCCGATCATGCAAATGAAGGACAGAGGGAATAGCAAAGTCCATGGCAATCCCCGTTTACAAAGCACACAAATGGGCACTTTCCTGTCAATTATACTTCACCTCAAGGTATAAAAGGATCAAGATGAGATGATGAATGCTGACTTTTGCCCTGGATGTAAATTCTTAGATTGCTGTTCTTTTATTGCTTGATTTTATCCTCCCACTTGTACTTCTTCCGTCTCTTGCCAGCTTGCCTTCAATTTTTGCCCCTAGTATTCTTCTTCTTTCTTCTTCGCGTTCACCAGCTGTACACTCTGGCGGAAAGTTCTGGTTGATCGTCCACTACTGAACTGCAGTCCCGCTCCAGAACCTGAGTGTTGCGTGTGCATCAGTTTTACAGATCTCATTCTCTTGAATACAGACTGTTGGTTCCTTGCCTCTCCGGCAGATGCACTCCGACTTCAAAGGAAGCTCCCCAATTAGTCGACTCTTACGACATGCTTTCGGGGAGGCAGTGGGTCTATTCTTGTTTTCCCCACAATGGGGCCCCGGAACCCACACAGGGGGCCCCTAGTATTGTTTTTATTAAGTATTAGTTCTCTTAATGTGGCCAAAATATTTCACCTCTTCATCTTTTTTCTTTAGCAACTGTTTTCCATCTTAGTCTTTTCAGAATGTGTATTATGTTTTTCCCATGAAGTGCGACCTATCCTCCAGATATTCACATCTACAGAGACTCAATTTTACTTTCTAACTGCCAGCTCATTGTCCAGGTTTATGCATCATAGAGAGGGGCTGAATATATATAGAATTAGAATAAACAAAAGATCTTTTCAAACATGTTATTTACTGACAGCAATGCTTTTATTAACCTCTGCAGCATTAAAAAAGGTATGGACAAACCTGGGTGTGATTGGAACTCGGACTCTCATTTCCGGATTGTGTTCATCACCAAGCCATGCACCATTTGGAAAATCCTCTGCAAAGATTTATTCACACATTCAAAACTGACATTTTACAGGATGAAAAACTGGGGGACTTTACACACACAAGACAGCAGGTTGCAGTAAGCTGGTCTTAGTACAGGAGCCCTAAATTATAAGTTTTGGGGAGGATGAACAGGATATCTGGGTATTTGCCCTGCTGGCTGGTTAGCCAGACAGATTTTTTTTAATTCTTAGGGTGGTCAAACCTTCAGGTAGCAGCCAGAGGGTGGGAACTGAGGAATTCCCAAGTTCTTGCCTTTTTCTGCAAGGGATTTCCAGGATGAAAAGGTTAAGACTTCCACGACCTGGCATTACACCTGCTACTCATACCTGCCATAAAAGAGCAGACTTTCTGAAACCTAAAATGACTGGATAAACTACTTTATCAGCTCTTATTTATATACCCTTCGCCCTCCCCAGTTAACCCTTTCCCCTATAAAGTAAAAAAGTAAAAAAAAAACGTGGGGGGGGGGGGGGGGGGGGGGGGATATAATAAATAAATAACAGCTACAGAGATGAACAAAATATTCTTCTTCTTCTTTCGTTCGCATGAAATAAATTGTCTATATCTGCAAAGCTGTCTCTAGTATGAATTTCACTGTCTTTTGTAATTCACTAAGCGGCCCGTAAAGTTTGACTTCCACAAGTGTCTCTTTTGGCCAAAGGTTTTGCCTGAAAGCGTTGAATCTGGGACATTCTTGAAGGATGTGATCTGTTGTTTCAGGTGCCAGTCCACAAGTACACATGGCTGATTGGCCAATCTTAAATTTGTTGTACATGTGGAAGCGAAGTCGATTGTGCCCTGTTCTAAGGCGAAGGATAATGACTTGCTCTGGTCTGTCCATAATATGGTAATCATCTTGTGCCAGTTTCGATGGCATTCTGATTGATTTGATCATTCTCTTCTTCTGTTGATAAGAGACTGGTATGTCAGGTTGTTCTTCAGTTGCACCTTCCTTAGCTAGTTTATCAGCTTTTTCGTTTCCGGGAACTCCACAGTGGGAAGGTATCCACTGCATTACTAATTTACAGCGGTTGCCTAGTTCGGATAATAGTGTCTGTATGCTTGGTAATTTTCCAGACTGGAGTGACTGAAGTACTGCTTTTGCATCTGTCAGGAATACCACTGGTTGTGAAAAATACCCTATATTTAGTAGTTTCTCTACCGCTATCTTGATGGCTTGAACTTCTGCATCATAGTTGTGACAGTGCTTTCCCGTTGGTAACAAAATATTAAAAAAGGAGAATCGTCAAATGCCATGTAACCTCAACTCTGTGTAGAAACTTGGACAATGAAAACTAACCAGAAAGTCGAAGTGAGTCTTCAGAAATGTAGATATACAGAAGAATAGGGAGCATTTCATGGAAACAAAAACAATCAAATGAAGTGGTTCTGACAAGGTGCCAATTACAAAATAATTACTGAAAGAAATTTTTTTTTTTAAAGACAACTGAAATATGTTGGTCCCGATAAAAGACATAACAAGAAGGCAAAGAACAAGAAGTTGACAATGATACAAGTGGAAGTACAATATCAAGAATTGGAAAAACAGCAGTCTTAGAGTGCACAACAAAGATAAGTGGCAGAGTGTGGTGGAGATCCACTGTAGCTAACCTTCTCTGTAGAGACGACAACTAATTTACTGATTCATATCTTGGTCTCCTGAACACTGTGCATGTGCAAACACCACCAATAGCATTTTACTGTGCTTTCTGAGAATACATGCCATTGCAAAAATGTTGATACATCAGTGTTTATAGGGAATGTGTCACAATCAGACAGTAAAAAGATTTAGGCTTCTTAGGGCAAAGAGTTTCATAAAATCTTATATATGATGTATACAACAACAACAAAATAGTCTGTCACCTTCTTGCGTTACATCATGTAAGAACAGTCTCATTCTTCTTGTGGGATAAGAATATACTGAATCTTATTTACAACGCTGAATTGTACTTCCAACACTGAATCTTACTTCCAAAAAAGAATCTTACCTTCTGTGTTTAAAGTGATCAAGGTGACATTTGGACCAAGATTTGATACTGGGCTATCAATTGAACTTATTTCACCTGAAAATGGGAAACAATTTTTTTTTAACAGATGCCATGCTCAGACTGAAATGTTGATATGGTGTGAGAAATATTAGGCCTGTATTTAAAGTCTAGTGCAGTTACTTTAGAAAGCCACAGAAGTTCAATGGCAAGCATTCTTGTCTGCTAGTCTTGTTAAAGGTTAAAGTCGAGAGGATCGACTTCACTGCACCAGGTTTTATCCCATATGGCTTGGTCTCTCTCTGCAGAATGGCTAGACTCCTGCTGAGAGCACCTCAAAGAACACAAACTCTGTAGCTCCAGTGAAGACTCTCAGGGACCTCCGTAAAAACTGCACTCATGAAAGGAAGGGCACAGCCGTGAAACAAATCCACGACCTTTAGAGCCAAGGAGACCCCTATCTCTGCTAGTCCTGCGTCAGCACATAAGATACTTTCACATTTAATTTTCACTGAACCAAATATTTCCCGCCTGGGTTCCGGGGACCTATTGTGGCCAAGGTGATAATGACCAAACCATCCATTTAATTTTAGTCTAAAAATATGAGGACCACCATCAAATCCTCAATATTTCTCTCCCTAAGCTCCTCAGCTCCATACATGCAGGAAGAATCCAGCTTTCAAAAACCATTAAAGATCCTTACTTCAGAACTGCTCCAGCAGCACATCAGAAGTGATGTGGTCAGAATCTCGTCAGAGATGAGATGCCTTCACTGTTTGCAGATGTTTCTAGAACAGTTTTTATACAGCTACACCAATATTTTTATATTAGAGCTACATGGATTTGACATTTCTACACTACCACAGATTAAAGGACTATGAACATCAAGAAAACAGACAGAATGGTCACAAACAAAACAAATGTAATTTTACAATAAAAGAGGGTAAAACCCAACCAAGATAACAAATGCTACCGAAATATTCAAGAATAACTATGCTGACAGATAGAAGATATGTGACAGTGTAAGACACATTTTTTTTTCATCCAGCTCCACTGGGATTTGAATCCATGACCTTTGGATTTACAGGTGAGCATCTAGCCGCTACATCATGGCCACCCACCTACAGCTAGTGTAGTTGCAAAAGCTCTGTAGGTAGGATTTTTTTTTTCCCTAAAAGAAAGAAACTTCCATCACTTAACCGATGATTCAAACCAGCTAGCCACTTGGCTAGCTGCTTGTGAAGAATATGTCTACTGAAAAAGAACTGAATCAAGTTTCATGCAGTGATAACAACAATGGACACACAAAACATCTCACAGTAAAACTAACCGGGCTCAGTTTTGGTCTGTGGCAATCCTACAATGACAGCACTAAGGAGAGGAGACAGAAAACAGAACTGATTAGTTATAAGGTAATGAGCTGAGTTAGCTTCACGGCACTCAGGACACATTCACAGGTGCTCAGACTCCTCCTTTAACCTATAAATCAGCAACCTGTGATTAACAGTGCCAACCCTATGCTGGTTAAAAACATTTCTTGATTGCCCAGTGTATTTCTCCTGCCTGCCTGTGCCGACCTTTACTCCCAACTCTCAAATACTTAGTAGTTATGTAGATATTCATTCATCGATTATCCTGTTGTGCCATTATGTGTCACATAGGGCTTGCAGTCTTTTCCTCCATTCTGCTCTATCCTGTGCAATCAATTCAATATCACGGACGGAATCAGTCAAGTGGCTTTAGCCTCTCTCATCAACGTTCATCTTAGGGTTTCTTTTGGGCGTTTTCGCCTCCTTAATTACTTTATTTCCATTTTAATGCAAGTGTGGTGATTCTCTGCTGGTTTCTTCTCAGGATGTGTCTTGTGTAGCGCCACCTTCTCTGTCTTTTAACTGTTGATACTAGTGATTTCCCAGACATTCCTCTTGTTTCTTCACTCCATTTGAATTCTTTCTTTCTTTCTTTTCTCTACTCCTGGAATGCCTCGCGGAGTCAGGGAAGGAAGAGATCTCTAGAACGGACCCTTCTGTTCGCTTCGTATATAGTACTTTTCAGTGTCTCTGATATTTCTGCGGTCCATATTCTGTGTAGTCGACCTTTGGGTCTGTTACCACTGTATCTATATAAAATTGCTCTCTGTGGTGCCCTGTCTGCTGCCAATTTTGTTTCAAGGCCAAAACCATTTGATTTGTTGTCTACTCTACCTATAAAGTTCAGTATTGGTTTTGAATTTTAATAAACCCATTTTCCCCAGAAATTTGTTTTTGAATGCATTTAACTTTCGTTCAACATCTTTAGTGGTTCTCCAAAATTCTACTGTGTATGTTAAAAGTGAAACAATAGAAATGAAAATATGTAACCTGGTTTTAAAACTACACAATTTAGAGTTCCATAATTTGTTGAAGCTAATAATAAAAAGTGTTGATGTCTTGCTAATGCATTTCATAATTTCTCTTTTCGTATGTGGATATGCTGCTTCCAAAATCCTCCAAACTCTTTCTAACAGCATTAACAATGCTGATGCAGTCCACAGGCCGGCCATCTGCAACTAAGACAAAACCAGCCAATATATCAGCTCTTTCAATGCTAACAACACCCGCAATGACTCAATCCACTGTATGCATACACAGCCTGCCCAACTGTACTCATAGAATCACTTAGCACACACACACATATGTGGGAACAGCCATATCATTCCAGTCGCCATAAAAGCCACTGTCATATTGCAAGTAGTCATAGAGAAGGCCCAAGCTGGTTCATGGACTTTGCCCGCAGTGACTGTGAATGCCCATGCATTTGTGTCCTCATACAATGGATCGGTGTGTGTGTAGAAGTACTAATATATATGGTAATCACAGGCAACTTAATTCTCAAATCACAGTTTATATGATCTTTATGACAACAGAAAAAAACCATACAAATAATATTATTTCTGTCATGACTCTTTCACATTAAATTGTAGATGAAAATAAGACCCCACAATCTGAAATTGGACGTGTCTGGCCCAAAGGCACAGATATCGCAGCCTAGCTGTAAACCACAATGCATAACGGGGGCTGTCCTTTAAAGGGTGAACACAGAAGAAGCAGATCAGTTGTCGAGCAGTGCTCTCTAAACCAAGTTTGTTAGTAATTAAACAAATAATAATAATTCTTGCTAGTGCAGACTGACATCTCTAGTATAATATCAGCCATAAAGTTATTACAACAAACTTGGAGGAGTATGTGTCCCTATAATTTTCATGCTCCGAAGTGTCTCCTTCCCTTTTATATGTAGAGGGGCTTGTGAGTTCCAACGACTTAAAGAGCTTTGCTGACAGTAGCTTAGTAAGCACTAAGGTTTCCCTATGTTGGACAGGTCAAAAAATGGAAAAGACAAAAAGGTACACAAACCTGATGCCTTGTAAGTAAAACTGGAAAAGGTCAAAGAAAATCAAATAAGTTCCGAAGAAAATGCTTGCAGAAACTATAAGTACTGAGCACTAGGCTGCACAAAACTAAAACATAATTTACTTCCTGATGATGATGAATTGTGTCCCCTATTGAAAAGGTATTCGCCCATTTAAAAAACAATGAAATGTACATTGATTTATAATTTTGAGACATATAATTTTTAAGAATTACAGCACAGTGATAAATTATTTTTACTAATTAGGAAAAGATGAGGCAATACCATACTGCACTCATCAGAAGATTGTTTTACAATATACACCAAGACAAATCTGCCAGTGGTATTTTAAACATCAGTGGAACTTGATCTATAGTCACTTGCTAAATCAGCATACCTGATTCAACCCTGGGAAGATCACAGGCTGAGGCTCAGAGAAAAGGCAAGACGGACATATAATCAGACTGCTACTGGCACCAGTGGTACTGGAAATCTGCACTGGCTGCTGAAGATGGGGACAGAATGCTTATGGGAATGCCCCAAGTGCTGTGATGTCAGTTCTTGGATCAACCCAACCCCAGGGAGATCTTTGCTAACCCATATTTATTCATATACTCAGCTCTTCTTCTTCACGTTCACCAGCTTTGAACTCCAGCAGAAGGTGTTTTTGTTTGTCCACTTTTGTTCCAGAACCTGAGTGTTGCGTGCACTTCTGTTTTACATATGTAACTTATCTGTATGCAGACTGCTAGTTCCTTGCCTCTCAGGCAGATGCATTCTGACTTTGCCTTTCAGGCAGATGCATTCTGACTTTAAAGAACAAACTAAGTTAACTCTTTCAACATGCTTGTTGGGGAGGCAATGGGTCTATTTTTGATTTCCTCACAATGGGGCCGCGGAACCCACACGAGGAATCCAATCAATTAATCGCAGTCAACTTCATGGCAAATAGGTCACACCCCAAAGTTGCTCTGTTCCTGAGCCAGGAAAACCACACAGAATGCTCATCACTGTTTTTTTTTTTTTAAAGCAGAAACATACTACAATTTCTACAAAGCCAATAGCATACAGACTCAATGAATGCATAACGCAGCTATCAGACGTGCCAACACAAACAAACTGCTTACAGAACTGCAGTTCATCGCTGATGGAAGCAGCAGTTTAAAAAAATCAGTAGCTGCACACACAGAACATGAAGGTTTGTATACCTTACAAAAGAAACAAATATTCCACAAAAGTGAGAGTACATGAAGTACTATCACATTTCATCGTAACTGAACCAAATATTTGCAAAATAAACTAAACCAAAGAATAGTGTAACAAGTGAGGAACTAACACATATGAATGCATACTACCTGTCAATAAAAGCATACCCTTTTCGCGGCATAGAAGTAACAACTCCACCGTTAGCACTGACAGATCTTGACCAGTTTATAATTTGATCCACTTTGTCTTCCAATGACTTTGTGCGAGCTGTCAGCATGTCAATTTTGGCGTCCATATTATCTAAACGCATGCAAATAGCTTTGTTGATGTTGAACAGGATTTGCTGCAAAAAAAAAATGTAAGTAAGATATTACGCATTATTTACAGGCATACTCTACAGAAATTATTTACAGGCATACTCTACAGAAATTATTTACAGGCATACTCTACAGAAATTATTTACAGGCATACTCTACAGAAATTATTTACAGGCATACTCTACAGAAATTATTTACAGACATACTCTACTCTACAGAAATTATTTACAGGCAAACTCTACAGAAATTATTTACAGGCATACTCTACTCTACAGAAATTATTTACAGGCATACTCTACAGAAATTATTTACAGGCTAACTCTACAGAAATTATTTACAGGCAAACTCTACAGAAATTATTTACAGGCATACTCTACAGAAATTATTTACAGGCAAACTCTACAGAAATTATTTACAGGAATATACTCTACTCTACAGAAATTATTTACAGGCATACTCTACAGAAATTATTTACAGGCTAACTCTACAGAAATTATTTACAGGCAAACTCTACAGAAATTATTTACAGGCATACTCTACAGAAATTATTTACAGGCAAACTCTACAGAAATTATTTACAGGCATACTCTACTCTACAGAAATTATTTACAGGCATACTCTACAGAAATTATTTACAGGCTAACTCTACAGAAATTATTTACAGGCAAACTCTACAGAAATTATTTACAGGCATACTCTACAGAAATTATTTACAGGCATACTCTACAGAAATTATTTACAGGCATACTCTACAGAAATTATTTACAGGCATACTCTACAGAAATTATTTACAGGCATACTCTACAGAAATTATTTACAGGCAAACTCTACAGAAATTATTTACAGGCTAACTCTACAGAAATTATTTACAGGCAAACTCTACAGAAATTATTTACAGGCATACTCTACAGAAATTATTTACAGGCATACTCTACAGAAATTATTTACAGGCATACTCTACAGAAATTATTTACAGGCATACTCTACAGAAATTATTTACAGGCAAACTCTACAGAAATTATTTACAGGCATACTCTACAGAAATTATTTACAGGCATACTCTACAGAAATTATTTACAGGCATACTCTACAGAAATTATTTACAGGCATACTCTACAGAAATTATTTACAGGCATACTCTACAGAAAGAATCAGCCAGTTATGGCTTAGTGTCCTTTATTGTTCAGATCAGACTTCAGTGCTGACCTCCTCTAATTGTTACAGGATCGGGTACTTACATAAGATTAAACGGAAACTGTTCCTTAATTTCTTTATCCCTTAGATATCTGAGACTAAGCTGGTAATATTTTCATAGCAGGCTTTTAGGTTTACCAACTTCAAGCCAATGCCCAGAAGGAGAGCAAAGTAGATGATATTTTATCCTCCTAAATATGTAGCAGGCTTTTTGCACTCCAATAAAAGCTTCCTGGAAAACCTTTGTCCATTTTAATTTCATTGACTTCTGTATTTTCATGGTCAGAGATCTTAAGTTATTTTTATTCTTTTTAATCTAAATATTTTAAGCATATTAATGTAACATTCCAGTTCAAAAGATCTGTTTTTGTTTCTTAAGTAACTGAAAAATAGTCTATGATTTATCTATACGCTGCCACGGGAAAATGACTGTTCTCTGTTTAGTTTGTTTGCTGCTAGTTTTGCCATACAGACTTTAAACCCTTTTACTCCATCAAATCATAAAACATGACCGCTCTTAACACTTCATTGAAAACTACTCACCATTATAATTCCAAAAACTCAACCATGAGAAACTAGAAAAAGGTAAGAAGAACAGAGCAAGAAACAGAAGAAATTTTGAGCCAGGGTAACTTTTTATAAATATCCAGGGGTTTGAACCCTTAGACTAATGAGCAGACAGGCAGGCATGAAGTCCTCTGCTCCTTTAATGATGAAAACAATTTTCCAGTCACTAAATGTTTAAATCGGAAAAAGGTTAACTTCTATGCGAAGGGAATAAGTCATTAAATGCAAACATAGCAAAGAATTGAATAATTTCCTTCCCTATGACCACTTGTGGTCATTTTGCTACAGATAATAATAGGACACCATAATGAAATTACATGATGTCACTAAGACATCATAATTATTTTTCAACCCAAATAATATCTAAAAATGTATTTTTTAAACTGGGTAAATGTTGCCATATCCACTATCTCTACACACTGTAGAGTTGCAGCCAGTACCAAAGCACACCATACAAAAGTATTGTCTAAATACATCATTTCAACCAAAACCCATAAAAGTCAGAAACAATTATGTTTATCCTCTGCATGGCTACGGCCAGTATGCACGACTTCTATTTAGTAGTCTTTACTGCTGTTAACTACTGGTATTCAAAGTGAGTTATATTTTTAGTCTATGTGACCTAAATAACAAAATGACTGCAAAAACACACACAGCCCACCCAGCGGCGGAAACAAATATATTCTTTTTTTTGTATGTGTTTTTCTTTTTAAATATATAAAACCCCAATGAAAATTATTTTATGCAATCTTTCTCCGTTAACTGACAAAAGAAAGACAATTCTTAGAAGCTATACAAATTCTATCCCAATATATGGAAGTTAACCATGGACAGTTGGCAGAGCAGTGAAAAATTATATGGAAGCTGCAGAGTTGTGGTTTTATGGACAAATGATAAGAATACCCTGGATAGTTTTAAAAAAAAAAAGAGTAATGAAGGTGTCTTAAAGAAATTAACTCACGGAGAGAATCAACTGACGCATTAGAAAGAGATAGTCAATATTCTCTGGTCATGTAATGATAGGGAGAAAGCTGGAATGTATCATGACAGTAGGAAAACTGGAGAAGAAGAGAGGCAGATGGAGACCGAGAGAGAAGATATTGTATTGGACAGTTTGACATTACGGCATGGAGGATCATCTGTATCAGAGCTGACTGACAACTACATGAGATAGAAGGCTGATGATAGATATGACTACCAAAGCCAAATGGCATGGACTTTAGAAGGAAAAAGCGAAAACACTAATAGTGTGATGTACTGTTTCATCAAACCTTTTGACTCAGTACATTAATTTTTACAACATAAGACATTACTGTCCAGCACAAAGAAACATTTCATAAAAAACAAATTCACCCCAACATATGCCACCAGTGCCATGTGTGAACATATAACACACCAAAAGTTTAAAAAGCAGTAAACATGTAGAAAAGATTTCTACAGAAGGCTGCAGGAGTGACCTGAAGTGATAATATCAGGAATTAGGTCATAAGAGATAGGCTAAGCTTTAAAACCGACATTGAACTACAAAGACCGAATAAAATGCTTTGCCCAAGTACAGAGAATGCTTTATGATTTCTTAGCATCCAAGGTATATGCTAAAAACAAAAGTAGAGCCTGAGGTAGAACAAAAAACAGAATAAGGTGGAAAGACAGAAAAACTACAACAGTACCAAGTGTCCATGGTCAAGGCAATAAGAAGTCCCAAGTATTAGAGCTCTGTTATCTCCCTTAGCATCTCCTATATCTGAAGTGGTAACAAGTGGAAATGAAGGAAGAAAAGACATGTAATTTAAACCCAGTGTCTTTTCAGGCTGACTTTCTCTAGCTTTTGACAGCCACCAAATACTCTACAAGGCAGGAGGATTCTATAACTCCTGGTCTAGTTCCTATACCTTGTCTTACACTGAAGCCCCAACCAGCAGCAGTTTCTCTGTTTATAACTTGTGGTGTTGAAGGAGCCACTGACATAGTGGCCAGGTGCTCACCTTGGGCTTGAAGGTCGTGGCATCAAATCAGCATCGAGCTGAATTTTTTCTTCAAAAATGACCTTGGCTTCCAGGTCGACCCAGTCTAAAATGGGTACCTGGTGATGTTGACCGCATCATCACCCAAAACAGAGAACTGACTTGTCTATAAAATATAGGTCTAGCGCTACAAAATGAAAACACCTAGAGAGGTGGAAAAGGGTTCATTTACAGCACTGGTGGTGTCAGCTATCATGCCTGTAACAGCTTTCTGTTTCGTGTACTGTCAAGCATTTCTTATGCACATATGTGCCATGCTATGTTAAACTGTCCAACATTTTCTCTCTTGGTCTCATTCTGCCTGTACTCCTCTCTAATGTTCCTGCTACATACTTCAGCTGTCCCCTTCAGGCTGCATGCTTATAGAATATAGATTGGCTTCTTTCTAATGCAACCACACAACCATTAGCATCGCTCTTGAAGTGACTGGAACAAATAAGCCCCCTGCCACTTTGAGGTAAAGACACAACATAGAGCCATTATCACAATAATGGGTAGAATGATATCAAATAATACAAATGCAAAAAAAAAAAAGGAGGTGACAAAGGAGTCAGAATAACTAATATCTATAAAACTAGCAAGATGATCTCCCGAGTATGTCTCAGCAAAAACTGTTCTGCACCACCAGCAATTCTGTAATTGTGGTCACAAGCAGACTTGATTATTATATAAACACTGAAACCTTATATGTGTATGAAGGACCCAAAAGAAACATGAATGAGAAAAACTTACTTTAAATGAATTGTCAAGATCTAAATCTATAGCTCCATCACAGTCCAGATGTATTCTCTTCCTGTCAGGTTCCAAGCAGTTCTCTGTGAAGTAATTAACAACAACAACAAAGTCAACAATTGCTAACAGTAGTTTATTTACACAGAGGACAATTTTGGATGAAATTAAAACTATCTGGAGTCTATCCCTGGAATATTTCAGTATTTTAAAGATTTCTAATGGTCTCAATTTCTATCTGCTAAAGATGATATGAGAAATCCACATTATCTTACATAAATTCTTCTCCCTTGCTACTCCCGAACGGGAGCACACTGGCTAGTAATGTTCCAATACATGTGGAAGAAGCACTGAGAGAGACGATATCATCAACACTGCATGGACTATTGTGGTGGATAAAGACAAATCTCTTATACTAACACGATTGTGTGACCTTGGGCTAAAGCGTGTTGAAGCACATTTACGCCATCTTCGAGGCCAAGACAGGAGAAATTATAACCAACTTCTCATTGAAGCAATCAGCAGAGGTACCTTTGAGTAACTGCTGTTTCAGAGGACTAAGCATACATTGGAATTGCCAATGTGATGCATCGGATGACTGAGCATAATTGGTAATGCCTAAAGTGCAGTGACATACATTTGATAACAAAACACGTCAGCACACACACATATCAACACATGCTGTATGCACACACAAACACACAACCAACACTTCTGCTCACCCTGTATCATGGCTGCTGTTCCATCTACATGCACATCTGCAACACCTGCCAGACCCACAGTCACTAAGGATGAATCGATGGTCACTGTTGCTCCGCCCATGTCCACCAATTCTCCATCCTGACTCGACATCCTATTCATCAGTTTGAGAGAATATAATCACTAGTTTCATTTATGTTCTGAATTTAAGTCTGCAGCTGAAACGCCATTTCCACACTGGGTTTATTATGTACCAACAATTATTACTAATATACAATATATTAGAAAAAGAACTGTACAATTACTCCTTTACACAGCATAGTTTGAATCAACAATGACATAAGTGACCTTGGCTCCTATGCTGAACCAGACTAAAATGGACACCAGGTAATGATATGGAAAGGGGGGGGGGGGGTTTGATGCTAACAATATCACCCGCTGTCCTGGTTGGTCTATAGCAGAGTTATTCAACTGACGGCCGTAGGTCAAATCTGGCCCGCGAATCATTGCCAGCTGTGTATGCTGGGGCTGGGACATCTGGCCCGTGACGATGCACATTTTCTAAACTCTGAGTAAACTTTTGCTGGGTAGCCCTGGTCTGTAACAATATTTCTTCTTATTTGTTCTGGTTGTTCATCCACATCAGGACTCTAGTCCTATACAAGAACCTGAGTGTTGCATGCACATCTGTTTCACAGATCTGACTAATTTGTATGCAGACTGTTGTTTCCTTGTCTCTCAGGCAGATAGATGCACCTCGACTTCGAAGTAAGCTCCCAAATAGTTGACGCTTACCCCATGCTTGTTTTTTTTTAAGTAGGCAGTAGGCCTATTCTCATTTTTGCAAAATGGGTACCAGAAGCCACAAGGGGATATAATAATATAAGTCTATGACTATGCCCAATGAGACACTGGCGTGAAAGTTTTTTTTTTTTTTAACTTATTATAGTTTAATTCTAGTGGCACACTGTGCTTGCACTTCTGATGGCTGCCTTGTGCAACTATGTGTATATGCTATTAATTTGCCAAGACTGCAGTCTGTTTCTACAAGGAACAGCGATGGGCATTCTGTGTGGTTTTCGCTGGCGCAGAATGGAATAACAATGGGGTGACCCATTTGCAATGAAGCTGGAAAAGTGAGTAGCTCAAATGATTAACTGATGATAGTATAGTTGACCCCTTTTCAAAAATACATATTGGTCACAAGATAATGTAAATACACATTGTATATCACAAGCAAACCAAAGTAGCATAGTGGCCAGCATGTATGTCAATGTCTTAAGATCTATGCAGTATACAGTACTAGGCACATTTTTAACAGCCCAACAAGTCTGACCACATAATTCAAAGTTCAGAAAAATCTTCCCTTCTCCTGCTGTGTTCACCTGCTTTGACTGCATCAATTAGAAAATAGTTCCTGGTATTTATCCTTACTGCTTATGTTTTAAAAAATACACAATAACACATATAAAACCGTTGAAAATATTGTTTTAACAATATTGAACACATCAGTAAATTGGCCGTGTACTTTACAGTGAGCTGTTGAATGAAACAAGGTTTTTTTTTCCCCTGGCAGTATGCAACAATACACAGTACTGGCATCTTTTTTTAGGCCTGATTTTTGTTTCAGTGCTAATGTAACAGATAATCAGTGGTAAGTACCGACACTTTCGTTAAATACTTAAAAGTGTGCATCTGCACCTGATTTTAAAGGGGAATAATGCCCTGAATGTACTATTTTCCAGTTTAATAAGTTTCCTGGGCTATCCTCTGAATAAACGTCCCAAATTATCAAGGCGGAAAATATACCCTAACAGGGCCTCAGTCACATGTCAATTGCGGACTTCCGGCACTGCTGAGAGTATCTCTGAGGCCGTAACGCGTGGCGTAGAGCGGGGCTAAACTAGATGGCTGGGACTCATGAGCAGCAGCTATAGCATCTCCTGCAGCTTCCTTCATTTTATTTTCTCGTGAGTCTCAGCCATCTAGTTTAGCCCCGCTTCACGCAGCACGTAGCGGAGTGGGAGATACTCTCGGCGGTGGCATTAGTCGACGGAAGTCCGCAATTGACATGTGTTTGAGGCCCTGTTATGGTATATTTTCAGCCTCAATAACTTGGGACCATTATTCGGAGGATAGCCAGTTTCCTAACTTAATGCTTAGAAGTACTGTATAAATACTGCCCACATTTTTATCGAATGCATTTTTCTCCTATGTTTACCAAAGTTATTTCTTTTCGATAATTTTACAAAGCGAGCTTTGAATTTCATGTGAAATGCTTTTCATCTGTACATATGGTGATTTATGTTTCACAAAATGGCAGTTGGTCAGCTGCCACAGAACTGGTGGTGCCTTATGCAGTAGTGCATGTGCAACTACTGGTTTTTAATGACTGCTGCCTCCAGTGATAATGAACTGGACTTCTAGTGGCAGACTACTGGTATGTGCGATGAATGAAATAATCTATAAGCATAAGGTGGACGGTAGCTGATGTCAAATAAATGTGCAGTAGTAAAGAAAAGCAGTCTTGTGTAGTTTACTAGCCCACTGTCAACTATGATAAATGCCAACATGAGAAATACATAAACAAAATTAACCCAGCTATTAACAGCCTGTATTTACCACCTCTGCAGTGTAGGTCAGAGGAAAGGTCTTTGAGCCTGAGGATTTAGGGCTGTATGGCTAGTGATGTAACCATGGACTGGTCTGGTCAGGATTTTACTTTTGCCCTTAACAGAAAAATACCTAACCTTACCAAGGATTCAAACCTGGGTCTCCCACTCTGTAGGGTTATGATCACATTGGGCCGGGTTAGGACAGGGATGTTTCGAGCAGAGTGGTAAGCTTCACTGGGAAGCTGTGTGAGCATACTTTGGATCTTTTCCCTAGGCGATGCCGGTGTAGTGGTAATGAACAGGCAGACAGATTGGCTGGATCTGCCCCAGTGGGTTATAAATTGATACATGCAAGGTAAATGTGGTCAAGGCCCCTTGGGAACAAGCAATGGAATCAGTAGAGAAACAAGATTAGGCTATCCTCCGATTAATGGGCACATATTATGGCAGCCAAAAACACACCCTAACAGGGCCTCGGTCACATGTCAATTGCGGACTTCCGGCGACTACCGCCACCGCCGAGAGTATCTTCCACGCTGCTACGCGTGGGGGGGGGGGGGGGGGGGGGGGGGCTATGCTAGATGGCTGGGACTCCTGAGCAAATAAAATGAAGGAAGCTGCAGGAGATGCTGTAGCTGCTGCTCATGAGTCCCAGCAATCTAGTTTAGCCCCGCGCGGCGTGGAAGAAGATACTTTCAGCGGTGGCGGTAGTCGCCGGAAGTCCGTAGTTTAAGTTGCAGGAAGTCTGCAATTGACATGTGACTGAGGCCCTGTTAGGGTGTGTTTTTGGCCGCCATAATATGAGCTGTTATTCGGAGGATAGCCCAAGATTATTATGGTCTCGAGAGAATGAGTAAAACCTGGGCACTACACTCAGAGGAAAGGCAAGACGGCTAAATAACCAGATTTTGACTGGTATCATCAGTATTGGAACTCTGCGCTGGCTGCTGAAGATGAGGATGGAGCACACATGGGAATGCCCCAATTGCTGTTATGTCAATTCTTGAATCAACTAAAATTTTTCAAAAATATCCTGTTCGTGTTCAACCCTTAAGGTTATTATTAAAACCTGATATAGTGTTCATAGTAAAACTGACATTTTTTTTTCTAAACAAGCAAACAGGGCTCGCTGACTCTGCACAGCAAAGAGACAGGACAAGAATGTATGACCTGGCTTGACCTGACTGGAAAGACATCAAATATGAAAATATAAAGTCCAGCAGCATATATGATCGACAGGAATGGAAAGACCGGATGAAATAACAGTGACTGGGTGACCAACAAAACAGTAACACTGTGTTATGTTTGTGAGAGATTCGCAGACATATATAAATTATTTTAATAATTAAATAATAAAAACCATAGTTCATCAGTGATAAGCTAGGCTGCATATTAAATTACTTTTACATGCAAAGTTGCAAAGACTTGCCAAAATATACTAATAACCGACGGAATTCGCAATGATGGAATTCCAAAATTCCTTGACACACTGTATATAAAAGCTTAAAAACACCACTATTCCATAATTCTAGCAGTTATTATTACTAAAAAAAAAAAAACCCAGCTGAAGCTGAAAACGAAAGTAGAAATCCTCTCTCCAAAACTCCACTCCACTTCAATTCCAACCCCATTCGATTTCATTTTGTCGGCCATGACACTGTTGAAAACGACACTAGGGGTGAAGTGGAAGGCTCAAACTAAATCTTTACCATGTTGCCCAGTAACAAGACAAGCTGAGATGGGTAGAAAACTCGAGGGAAGGCTAAAGTGTGTCCAGACATCGGATTTTGTTTCTTACTTTCCACAAGCCACCTCAAATCACGTCCAATCTTCTCGGAGACGATAACGACGTCGGGAACGGTAACCTGCGAGAACGTCTGCGCATGACACGCTCTTCCTTCTATAGACTTCAACTTTTATTTTATCTTTTTATTTCCACAAATATTCTATAATTTTATTTTAAAATATATGCTTTCTATTAAACTCACATATGCTTTTATATGTGTTAACTTTATAATGATTATACTACTCGTAATTTGATATATATTGCGATTTATTTCAAAAATTGTTAAATAAACTAGTCAATAGAATAGCTTGACCCAATATGTAAACTTGATGGGTCAGAGTTGAGAATTTCATCTGGAAATAGCACTGGCCCATTGAGATATTTCATAAGGGATTATAGGACGTGATGTGGAAGGATGGATACCTTATCGGTGTGTGGGGTTATAACATAACGAGTGTTTGAAGGCGAGAGAATCTACTTCAGATGGTTCGACCTGTCGCTGCAGAGCGGCTGGTGGCCAGTGAGAGCGTTGCACAAAGCACGAACCCTCTCGCTCCGGCAACCACCCCGACTGTTAGAGAGTAATGACAAGCTGTGATTTCACTCAAGCGTGTCGCAGTGTAGTTGTCACTTAATGCGATGTTTGCGTATATGATTGTGTGTTTCTATGTGCACATTAGCATATCTGGATATGCAAGCGGAGTTCACAATGAGAATGTAAGTCTAAAGCAAAGTCTAGTATGGGGTCCCGG